CTTTCTTCTTCTAATAAGGTTCTTCCTTGCACAACAGAAGAACCTTCGAACTCACACCCTTTTAATATTTTGCTATTGACTCAATATATGTAAAACTTGTAGTTTTTTTTTTTCGACTCTCGGGACTAATATATATATATATATATATATATATATATATTAATATTACAAAGAAATAGATGTTAAGGGTTGAGTTATTTGGGACTTGAAAACCGTAAGAAATCAAAAGGAAAAACAAAACGGAAGAGATCAAAATAGAAAAAAATCAACATGAAATGATTATGGATAAAGACTTGTTATTCTTCTCTATACAGAGAAGGAATCTCAAAACATATTTATGTGGTGCCAATTACTCCTTATTAATTGATAACGTTAATAGCAATTAGCAATTATATACTTAATCTTTCTAATAAAACAAAGCATAAATATATATGAATATTTAAATAAAACCATAACTGCTCCAACTGTTAAGTATTGAAGAAATTATGAACGTTTAAAGTTTACCTAATTTCCGGCGAGTTCCCCAGTTTTCCAGCGGACCAGTCACCTTTCAAGCTATTTTTTCGACCATCTCTGGTAACCATTGGGCTTCCAAATAGGTATAATCTTGTTCTATACTTTCCTAACTTCGTTTTGATAGATTATAGATTGAATTTGGTTAAGAAACAAAGAAGTTACGAAGTTTTGAAAATTACCTAAACTTTCGGCCAAAAACCCTAGTTTCGGTGAGCTCCGGTGGCTCGGCTCGGCTTGGCTGAGTTAGCCGTTGACTTTCCAGTCAACGCTGACTTTTTCAGGTTTCGCCCGGGACCCCTCCTAGACTAATTTTGATGTCCTGATTCCAAATTCGCGCTCTGTTTTCCCAAATTCAATTGTTTTAGTAGAGTTTTATTAATTGGTCCTTTTATGTGCTTAGGTGCTTTTGTTAGTGGCGTTTCTGTCCTACCTAGTTCGAACGACTATTCGGTGACGGAGTATCTGTGAATGGACCCCTTTCAAAGTGCATGATTTAATTACTAGAAATGCATACAAGAAAAACATGATTTTATGACTACGTTTATGAGTAAATCGGATTTACGCTTTATGAATTATCATGCCTTATCAAATTTATGTTTACTGAGATATTTATGAATATGATTTATGATATGATGTTTGAGCTATTGAGCTCCGATGAGATATATTTTAGAAATATTATGTTCATGATTTTTTTGCTTACTTAGTGGTTATTCATACTATTTGCCCATTGGCGAATGATATTTTTATATGGCTTCGGCGGGGAGATGTAGTGCCTACTGGCGGAAGATATTTATATGTGACTTCGGTCGGGAGATGTAGTGCCTACGAGAGGAAGATATTTATATATGGCTTCAATTGAGAGATGTAGTGCCTACGTGCGATTGTGATACTACTACTAAGCACACTATATACGATATATGTTTTATGAAGGTGTTATGGCATGCTAGGGTTTTTGGAAAACCTATTACTTATTATGCTATATGAGTTTTCTAAAACTGGGGATTAGTACGTTGAAGATTAATTGTTTTAGTATTATATATATATGTGTGTGTATATATATATATGTAAACTTGGTCCACTCATGTTTTGTTTTGCGCCCCTTCAGGACTTAGAATCGAGGTGTACAATCCCGGTGTCAAGGCATTCCTGCATTAGTATCTTGGAGCCTTCTCAGCGTAGGACCCATTCCTTTGTTCGCACAGTTTTATAATATTCCTTTTACAACGTTTTGGGTTAGTTGTATGCTCTGAACACGTTTCACAATTGCATATTCATTATAGTCAAATTTACGAGTTTTATTTATGTTCGTTCTTTCTTCATAGTTCTCATGCATGTTAGTATGGCTTCATCACCTTTGGGTCTCGCCCAGCACGTGCCTACCCTGTTGTTTGGAGGATATCGGGGTCAGGCGTGTCATAGAGGAACCGCGGGTTAGGACGGGTAGATAAGGTTTGAAGCGGGAAAGGGCGGGTCCATTTTTTTTAGAGGATAAGCGGGGCGGAGACTGTGTATTTTAGGGGCGGACGAAGTCTTATTATTTAGAATAACGGGACCTTGGATCGGCCCGTTCTAAATATAATGGATGGACTCTTTTTCTGCACTCTCTTTAAGAATCCAGAGTTTCCAGACCATCCACTCCTGTCATATCCTCCTTAACGACATCAACCTTTGCGACTCTGCACTTGCTCTTCTCACCACCGTCTCGACCACCACGACGGCACCATGCACCTATCTCTCATCCTGGATGACATTCCAGAGAACCTAGGTCCCAAAACCACGACGACACCATCCGTCTCTCCTCCTCGACGACATCACCGCCATCGCGACCACCAACAACACATCACCGCCATCGAGAACACTGATAGCAACCATCATCCTGCTAACATTTAGGAAATTATGAATTAGGGTTTTTTATTTATGTGAATTTCTGGTTTAGGGATTTAGGGTCTTTTTTAGGATTTGTAGATTCTGCCATGGGTTCTCAATTTGGTGTTTACAATTTATTCTTTTAAATTTCTAGGCTAAGTATTGCCTGATAGTGCTTCTCCGATTGAGTTGGCTGCTGAGACCAAATTGGAGCGGTGGCTCCTTGAGGAGGAATCTGGTAGAATTCTGTTTGCGTGAATGTTCTTTCTTCAATTCTTTTATTTTATTTTAATTAATTATCTTTGCTTTCTTATATATTTTGTGTTGCTCAGTTTTAATAATTAGTTGATTTTCTCCATTTAATAAAGCTTGATCGCATTAAACTTAATGGGATAGTTGATATGTACATGGATTTTTTTAAATATTATTTTGTTTTTAGATTACTATAATAGATGAGTTTGTAAATTGAATTTCTATATGATGTTCTTCAGAGATGAGTTTACATTCAAAGCTTTATATAAGATGTATCATGTATGAGTATATTATATTATATATATTATATATATATATATATATATATATATATATATATATATTACATAGAAGAATGTGTGTGTGTGTGTGTGTAAGAATATATGGGGGCGTTTGTTGTGCCGGACTATCTCGGACTGGATTAGCTTCAAGGACTAAGCTGGACTGGCTTAGACTAGACTAAACTGGACTAACTTAGTGAAGCGTTTGGTGCAGTATTGGACTAAAAAGCTGGATAATAACAAATTATAATATTATATTATTTAATATATAAATTATTAATATTTTATTATGATCTTATCTTTTTCTTCATTTTTTCCTACCATTTCCTCGTTAAATTGGATGAAGTTAGCACCGCCAAAAAAATTCATCACCATCCCTGGACCGAGATCTTAGCTTTGAATGCTCGAATCTGTCATGGATTTGAAGAAGCCCAAACAGGCCGAGACTTCCAGGCCATTTTCCAGCCACATTCGACCACATTTTGGCCTCGATTCACGTAAAATCGTAATCTTGTCACTCCCAGCTTCAATTTGGTATATTTTATATGAAAGTTGGTTGTGAAATGGATCTGAATGAGAGTCGGAAGGTTAATGATTGATCTAGGTGACCGGAGATGACAAGGAGTCTGTCGAGAGTGGTCGTTGAGCATGACGAGGACGAGAAAGAGAAGATAGTCTTAGCTAGTCCCATGGTTATTGGGGGGTCTCGCTAAGACCTCTTAGTGAAGGGTTTTGTCCATGCTAGTCCCCTTTAGTCTCATTAATGTTAGTCCCAGCATGGAACAAACACAGTATTGGACTAATAGCTAGTCCAGTCCAGTCCAGTCCAACTTAGTGAGGGCAAACAAACGCCCCCTATATGAATTGATGTGCAGTGCACCCTCAATTTTTAAAAACAGCTCCTGTGTGCAGATGCATGTGAAACAGGTCTTGTAATTTTCTAAAACATGTTAGTGTTGCTGCAGTGCTGTCGTGCAGTGCAATTTATAAATTAGAGAAAAAAAAAAGAGTTGGATCCATGGACCCATCTTGAATCGGTCTGTTTCAAACACACTGAGTTAGGCCCAGTTTAAAAACTGAAAATCCTTCTACCTGGCCCATCCCGCTCTGTTACTGTTTAAAAAGGATAAGGTCCTGTTTCTTCAAAATTGGGCCCGACTCGGCCCGGCTCGTGCCCCCTAATGCGTATGTTGGAGCCTGCAAGAGGAAGAAATTTTTTAATGTGATTGGAATACGTGGTGGACGCCATATGTTGTTATACAAGTAGAATGAAGATTTCTTTTAAGTATTTATCCGCTTGTATAATGACACATATTTTAAGTATTTACCCGTATTCTAAACACATAAAAAAATCTTTAAGCGAGAGACCGAAAGGCTTGAAGGCCTTCAATATGCAGTTTACTCGTGGCTAAATTTAGCACTGATTCAAAGTGGGCAAGTGGCTTTATAAAGAGTGGAGATTGGACCCATTTAGAAAAGTGGAAGGCGCAGAAAGGATATTCCGATTGCAAAATCAAAAGAATTTTTTGCTCGCGGGCAAGTGGCTAGATTAAGGACCGATTCAAAGTGGGCAAGTGGCTTATAACCCTTGAGTGAAGATGGGGCCCACTTGGAAAAGTTCAAAAGAAAAGACTAATCAGAAGATATTTCCAGTTCGGATTTGGATCCTCTGTGGATCACAGATCAAGACACAAAAATCGTTCATCAAAGATCGTGCGATCATAATTAAATATTTTTTACACAAACGAGATTGCTTTACTTTTAAAAATATAAAAAAATATTTAATTGTGACCGCACGATCTTTGATGAACGGTCCTTATGCCTTGATTCCCGGAATTCTTGGAAAGGGGATCCCGGAGATCAAGATACAAGGACCGCTCATCAAAGATTGTGCGACCATAATTAAATGTTTTTTACGCAAATAAAATTGCTTTACTTTTAAAAATATAAAAAATATTTAATTATGATCGCACGATATTTGATGAACGGTTATTGTACTTTGATTCCCGGATCCCCTCGGATCCAAATCCTTCCAATTACAAAAGAAAGTTTTGCTCGCGGTCACTTATTATATCACTATCGTCGGTCACTTGTTATACCAGCAACCCAAAATTTAGAGAGAGAAAGAGGGGGGAGAGAGAGAGAATGGGGCATGGAAGCTCGAAAGAAGAGAGTGAGAGCAGCCTTGCCGGTTCGGAGAAGTCTGCGAGGGGATCGCGTCCCTCTCGGCTGAGGCAGCGACTTCACCTTCACAGTCGTGCAAAGTCGTCGTCTCATCACAAACGCCTTGATGATGCCGGCGATTTCGCTGGAATTGCTCTGCTAACCCTCGTTCAGGTATATACATATCTATATCTATAATATATATGCAGTGTTTAAAATATCGGTATTTGTTGAAATATAGATATGCAAATTTGTAAAAATATCGGCAGATATTGATATCGGTCGCTTTTCATGAAAATGAAGGAAATTTAAAATGAAACTTTAGCCATTGTCAAACATTAGTTTGAACGAATTAACAGATATGACAGAAATATTGACGATACCTGTCGATTTTAGCTTAAACTGAAAAGTTTCCGTGAAGTTTAGACTTCAATCCATTTCCATATTTTTCTCTGATTTTTTTTATAGATATTTCCGTGGAAATATTTGATGTTTCCTCCTCCTTCTCTTCTTCTTCGTCTGTTAACATTGATTAAAATTGGATTAACATGGCTCTGGGCTGCTTAATTATCTGTGTTTCTTGCGCAGGCTGAAATGAAGTTCAAGGACAAGTGGCTTGCCTGTCTTTCTTTTGGGGAGCAAACCTTCCGTACCAACATCTCCCCTCAGTAATAATCCCATCTCCAACTTCTCTGTTTTTTCCTTTTATTTTATTTACTTGTGTATTTCAAATTACTTTATATATATATATATATATATTTATTAGCGGTAGGATTATTGAACTAGATTCATCTAAACTATGGAGAGGGGAATTTGAACACGAGTTTAGTGCCCACATATATTTTATTTTCTTAAAACAACCAAAACAGCAGTAGTAGATGTATGGTCACGGACATGGATACAAGGATACGACACGATATGGGGATGCGTCAAATTAACAAGAAAAAAATTGCTGTACGACCACTAGGGAATACGATACGACACAGGGATACGAGGGAATACCATTGTGTACATGCATCGTCACAGTACATAGATAAAAACTCCAACATGGAAAGTCATTAAAAAAAGGAAGGAAACAAACAAGTACAAGACAGCTTCTGGTTGCGGAGCATTCATTTCTCTATAATGTTACATTGTTATATTGTTCTTCAATAACGTTTCGGCTTAATTCTGAACTTTGAGTATTAATTTGTTTTACTGGTGTTGGTGTTGCAGAACAGACAAGCCCGTCTGGAACTCTGTAAGTACCCGAAACCCAATACAGTATCTTATTATGGAAAAACACGTGTGCTTTGATTTTTTTTTCTTAATCTTAAATTCTTAATATATTGACTTAGTATCTGTGAAAAAAAGGCATGCTCATTGCTTAGGTGATGGTTGTTATACCGGTTTTGTCTGACTTTCCTTTTCGATGGAGTGTTTATGGATACCAGATGATTGTGTTTTTGATTGTTGTTCACTGAAGGCTGTTTATCTTTACTCTAGTAAAGCTATTGGGACATCTTTACACTTACGAGATTTAAACTAAAAGTCTTGCTACAAATACAGCTACACACAGCAGCCTTTGTCTTATATGGTTGTTTTTTACACAAACATTGCTCTCTCCAGGATGGTTTATATATCTTCTGTAGGATTTTATAGAGCCTCATTCATGGTTTAGGAACAAATTTCATTGCTGTTAATTACTATAGCAACAGTTGAATTGAAACATGGTGTCTATTGCGCGCCCTTTCTTCCTGTTAATTCTAAACATGGAGCAACAGTTCTTTTGGCACCTATGGTATGTTTTACCTGCATGCTTGAGAATTATTTCGTATTTTTATTTTTGCCTTCTTTTGCTGGATCTCCTTTCTATTTTTGTACAGTTTCCAATTATTCTTAATAGGGAAAATCATATATATGTCCTGTTTCCGATTTAAAAATAAAAAAACTACATACAGTTTTAGATTCTCCCTGCATTTTGTCTCCTTGGTTCTCAGATCTCCATATATTTTTTATTGTTTAATTTGTGATGTACAAGATGTTCAGATTGATTTTTGAATGATATTTTTTATGATAGGCCTGACACCCTTGTTATTATTAAGTAGTCTTTGTTTCTTGGTATGAGCTCTTGAGCTGAAAATAAACCTCTGAAACCCCTTTGATTTTCAGGAAAAGAAACTTCTTTTGGAAAAAAATGGGCCTCATGTTGCAAGGATCTCCATTTTCGAGGTATGCAGTTAGTTTATCTATTTACCTTAGTGTCCTGAAACACACAATTTCTTCCTTGGTAAGTTTGGTATCATGTGGCAAGGACAGATATGGCTTTGGTATCTGGGACTGCATGTGTCATAGAATTTGGAATGCTTTTTCACCTTTTTTTAAGAAGAAACAATAGAATTTTATTAAAACAACAGAAGGAATTACAACAAGTGGATAAGAAATCCACCAACTAGCAAAACTGGCTAAGACCTCTCAAGTAGGACTACTTTACAAGTAACTAAAGCTGAACCAAATTCATTTTACTGCTGCTAATACATCCATTACTAAAGGGCGACCCCAAGCCAATAAGGTTCCCCATTTTGCGAGGTTTTTTTTTTTTTTGGTTTTTTTTTGGGGGGGGGGGGTGTGTTTAGGGAAACACAGCCTTACCCTTTCTTTGCAAAGAGGCTGTTTCCACGATGAACCCGTGACCCTTCGGTCACAAAGGAGGAACATTTCCGCTGCTAATACCATTTTGAGAATTTGGTTTGTGTACACGTCTGTGTTTTCATAAGGCGTGCCATGATTATTTCCTGCAGAATGCCATGGTGTTTTTTCTTGCTCTATTACAATTTGTGTATATTTTTCACTTATTCAAGTTATTATGTAATGCAGACGAATAAAATGTCCAGAAACAATCTGGTAGGATATTGTGAGATTGATCTACTTGAATTTCTAACCAGGGTGAGATACCTTCTTTGTTGAGCTAACTCTCTCTCTCTCTCTCTCTCTCTCTCTCTCTCATTTCCACGATTAACTTCTTATGGTTTTATTTCTTACAATTGTTTTATTACATGGAATAATGAGGTAAGTATTCTGCAGATAGGTAAATCCCATAACAGTTACATTTTTTGCAACTTAACCCCAAAGCACCAGATTTCGATAACTAATGGAAGTTAATGGCAGTTGTACAAATCTGACATGCATTGTAGACTTCTGAGAAACATTATATCGGATACAAATCTGTTTCCAAGTGTCTTTTGTTTACAAGTTTCCTTGAGCTTGCTTAAGTCTACATCATATTTTCTCCGCTGTACATTTGTTATTTATGACTGAGCTTTGAAAATGGAATTAATTAGTTTTCCAACTGATTCTCATACTCTCTCTCTCTCTCTCTCTTTCTCTCGTCTGTACCAGACTACCTCTCTCTCGCCCTCCCTCCGCTGAGCATAAAATGTTGTGGTTGCAGGATTCAGATTCCAATTCTGAGACGTTGGACTTGTTAGATCCATCAACATCAGACAAAATTGTCGGAAAAATTTGTGTTTCATGCTCTGTTGAGGTGTGCCATGTATAAATCTAGTTTCTTTGATTAGTCAATCTATTTAGGAGTAATAACACTTTGCTGGAAAATTTGACAGGACCCTATTGAAACAGAAAAGAGTTTTGCAAGGCGAATCTTATCTATAGTGGTATGTTCCAATTGCATATGTACTCATATATTAGAAAATGTTCTTAAATGTTTTATTAACATCATTTGATCTTCACTTTGACACATCTATGTTGATCTTAACTGTTCTGCTATATTCTACTTCTTGTCCACTATGTCATTGCATGTAGTTAAGATATAGTTTCTACTGCACTGCATCACCTTGCGCTGAAGTTCTAATTATGCAGAAACTTTAGTGACATTAAAACTGTTTTTCTTATCTTCTTTCCTTGATTGGAAAATTGCACTCTAAGGTTACATGGAAGAGAAACCTGATTCACTGGTAATTTCGTGTAAATATTACTTCAACCACCTCATTAACGACCCATAGTTCAAAAAGTTAAAAGAAGCTCAAAGATGCAATGACAAGGTTGGTTTATTGCTCATGAGAAAGTAATGCTTTTGCTATTGAAAGGAAAGGAATAACATGTAAAAGAAAAAATAGAAAGGAATAACAGATATTTAATTCGGGGTTACTAATGGAGAAGCGGTGGACTTCTAATGGGAAAGGGTTATCATTTTTGTGGGGCTTTATTTCTCATGATTTTAGAGACGGGCCTTTCTTGTTGGATGTTGGGTGAGAGTCAGTAGAATTAATCATGTATTTCAAGTTTGTTACATTGTTTGATATTATTTCCTAGCTTGAATGGAAATATTTGGTTTCTTGAGTCTATTTTCTTGCATGTCTGTTTTCACTATATTAATTGAGGATCATAATGTTTGTATATCAAGCTGATCCATCATTTAAAAGGCCAAATTTCTTGCAACATTCAATTTTGGCTTCTATAGTTTCTCATGGAAAGTCCTTTTGGATCCTCATATTATTCTCAGTTTTGGCCAAAGAATATCATGTTTTTCCAATTCTTTTCAAACATCTATTGTTTACAACCCATGCATATGGCCACATGAATGACGTTCATCTTTCTTTTGGAAGTTCAAGAGGAGAATATTTGGGCCTGTTTGATAATATGTATTATTTGTTTTTTCAATTAATGACTCAGAGAGGTAGAGGAAATAAATACCAAAGATGAGAGAGGTGAGGTAGAGAGATTTTAGATGGGTTTTAGTTTTTGTTGTATTTAAGTTCTGTTGTATACTTTACCATTGTCTGTATTATCTTTCTATAAATTTAGTCCATCAAGTGACAGAGAGGCATGGCCAAACTGAGCATACGGAGTACATTTGTCGAACTAGGCCTCACACTCGTATAAGTGACTGCCATCCACCCTAAAACTTGTAATGGGTGGAGTGATCTTATATATTATCAAGCAACGCTTGGAATTTCAGATGCAAAACTTTATATTCTCAACATCTATTTTCTCCGATTTTTCCCCCAATTTTGATAATCCTTCTCAACTCTTTAATTGGAATATAAAAACATAAAAGGCAATAAAACAGAAACGTCATCAAACGAGCCAGTTTATGTGGGTATATATGATATAAGGGCTGCTGTAGTTTGGATTTCATTCATGAAATGTTAGGATGTTTAGTCTGTTTTTCTGTTGTTGGGCAGTCTAATTTCTGTTGTTTCTTTTTATAATGAATCCATGTTTTTTTCTTCTATTGATTTTTAAGCTTTTATTGCCCTTAGTAATTGAAATATGATCTTGTCATATGTCATATTGATGCCTTGTATTCTTATAGTGTAAAGCTGAAGATTCTGAGATATTGTACTGTTCACAGGACTATAATGAAGATGGAAATCTTTCTTTCTCTGAATTTTCTGATTTAATTAATGCTTTCGGGAATCAAGTGGCAGCTAACAAGGTTTGGACTTACGTATTTATTTATATCTTTGTATCTATATTTCTATTTTCACAATTTGTTTGAGATCTCTACTCGTGGACCTTATGGAGTTTGCATGGATGATGTAATTTGTATTCAGCTAAACGAACACGTATATAACCATTTTTAATCCAATTGAGTTCATTTCAAGCTCACTGTAACACACTCAATACACATTTTTAATTTGTTCACAGGTCATGGCTCATCTGAGCCTAGCTCCTAAGTCTAAGTGCCTTTTGGTGTGTGCTTAAAAATTGGTTCTCGGTACATGAAACTAACATCCACAACTATACATTTGACCTCCAATTTCAGATGTCTTTGTTACTTTGTGATACATTTTAAGGCCTGTCTGTCCTTTTCTTTTCCTTTGGTTCAATTGTCTCAGAAATGTCTTCCTTCCTTACTAGAAAGAGGAGATTTTTAAAGCTGCTGACAAGAACGGGGATGGTGTTGTTAGCATGGATGAATTGGCTGCCCTTCTTGCCATTCAACAGGAAAAGTAATGATACAAGTAGAAGTTAGAAGAGTTTTGAACCATGAATTGCCACTGTATATGTTACTATTTTGATCTCTTTGCATATAATCACACCTCAAAACAAGACAAAAAAATATCTCTAAGCCTATGCAGTGTTGAAAATGTGAATTTTATTATTTTTCAGCTTCCATGGCTGTAAACATATGTCCATTTGGGGTTATATGTCATACTCATAGTTGTTTTATGTTTTCAGACGAGAATAAAAAATCTGTAGGTTTTATACTGTTTTTAAGTTTTGGAGAAAATTCCCTTAGAAAAGTTTATTGAATTGTTTGATAGGTTTTAGAAAAATACTTCTTAGTTTTCCTTACATTTAATAAAAATTATGCGTACTTCTGTTTGGAATGGCTTCAACTCAACATTAGATCTAGGAAGAAGAATTATTTGACAAAACTAGAGGCTTTGCTCATGTCTTGGAAAAGGTTAGCTCATAAGGGTAATTTCTGTTGACACAAACTTAGATTAATTAAAAGATTGAAAGAATTTCCAGCTTAGGAAACTATTCTCTGTTCAAAGAAAAAGAGCCTTACTTGTTTTGTTGCTAACTTCAATTGCTATTATGTTTATCACGAATATGACTTGAGACCATTGGTCAGCACATTCTTGTTGGGCTTGTGAGAACAATTATGGCTAACTGCTCCAAAACTAGTTCGGCCCATCGATTATATACTTTGGAAACAGTTTTATAATTCTTACAATTTAGGTTCTTTCTTACTATGACCCTTTTTTATGCCAGACCTGAGTTTTCATTTTATTTATTTTATACCATGATTTTCAGTTTAATGTAAATGCAACTTGTTTGAATGTAGAATTTCCCTTTAGTTCTCATTCTTGAGAAGATGAATAAAACTATTTTGCTTTTCAGGGAACCACTAATGAATTGCTGTCCTGTTTGTGGTGAGACTCTTAAAGTCTCTGATAAGCTGAACTACATGATCCATTTGACCCTATGTTTCGATGAGGGGACTGGAAAACAGGTCATGACTGGAGGTTTTTTGACCGATAAACAGGCTTCTTATGGGTAATAATCTTGTCATATTAACAGGCTTCTTATTGTTGGTGATTCATTTCAGTTGAGTGGATATATCAATCTGTGCTATACTTGGTATACTAAGGTCATACATATCTGTAGGTGGATGTTTAAACTCAGTGAATGGGCCCATGTTTCATCTTATGACATTGGTTTAAACTCTGGATCGAGTGCTGCTCATATTGTGGTATACTTTCTTGGTTTAGCTTATTTTTAGATCTGCTAAAGGTTAGATAGATATTTATTGTTTTGTTCGTTTTAAATGTGAATCCCATTCCATAATGGTATTCATGCTTGTGGTTTTTAGTTGCGACACCGTTCAGACTTTCTCCCTTGCATTGTATATCTGCCCTGCCCTGCCCTTCCCTTGATGTTGTATGTTTTGTAGACTGTTTTAACCATAACGACAAATTGAAAGTTTAAATGATGCACAAGTTACAAGAGACGGTCATGTTCAAACCTTATAATTTGCATGAGTTGAATGAACTCATGTACGATTATGAAATGTTTTCATAAGATCATAACAGTACCACAAGAATGGTACCTCTAGTGGTGAGGTGTTGAATGTTAATGCTGTGTTTGCTATTGTTTTTTAATTATATGGATCACTTCCCGTGTTGGCAAGTTAAAATAATTGGAGCATCCAACCCAAAACCAGTTGCATGATATAATAAAACATTGATCATATTACCAGAGAGCTTAACTGGTATGCATCATAGTGGTTGTTAACCTGGTAAATTTGTTCATTTTTCTCCTCTAGCATGCCATTGAAGCATTGTAGATGTGAATCAATCTGCTATGTTCCAAAATGTAATTCTTTTGTACTTTATTTTTCGATTAACAGTTTATTGCTTCAGGTATTTGATCGGAGGACAAAGAGACTTGTGGAAGAACTGATAGATGAAAAGATTGTTTTGTCTATGAGAGCTATTTACCAGTCAAAACTAGGGCTTGGCCTTTTGGATACAGGTCTGAATTAATTTGAAAATGTAAATACATGTTGAATCTAATGAAGATGCAGAGCATGTGTTGTGATTCACGAGCACCTTCCTCTTATCTCAATTGACATCTTGTATTACTCAATAAATTGCTTATGACCATTGACCTTATTTACCTTCCATCTTTTCTATCAACAATGTCACCTTCCTTATCCTCTAATAAGTGCAATTTGTTTTTTAAGTGCTTTTGATTTAAGTTCAATAATCTTATATTAACAACTATAGTTTCAGTTTGCTCATGGTCTTTACACATGGCCGTGGGGACAGGTTTGGTTGTAACTTGTAGCTACGAACTCTATCATTAAATCTACCCACTCTAAATCTACTTTCAGAGGAGACTTGTGGCTTTGAACTGACTGTCAATTGCCTATCCAAATAATAATAATAATAATAATAATAGTTCCTAATTTTTAGAGTTCTTTTGCTAGCTAGAAGCAGGTTCTAGTTTCTCTGAATTCTTTGGTCGCTTTTTATTAACCTTGTTTTTATTAATATGGTTCACCAATTTAATGCAGGGGCAAAGGAGCTCCTGCAGAGCATCTCTGAAAAGCAAGGGAGGAAAATGAACTCAGTTGAATCTGCTAAAGATATACCAAAATTCGTCGAATTTTTTAAGGCATGACACTTTTGTTAGAATAACATTCTTATTAATCTGTTATGAACTTTTTTGAATATGCTGCAATACATGGAAAAGACTGGGTTGTGTGTGTGATGCAGTAGCTACAACATTCTCATCTCTGGAAAGCCAAAATTAAGCTCTTTATTTGACCAGATGTTCTTTCCTTTTGAACTGTTTTTTATCAGTAATGCTCAAGTTCGAATAATGTTATTGTACATTCATGCTAAGCTGAAGTGACATCCATTTGATGAAGTTTAACTATTTTGTAGGATCAAATCAATTTGGCTGATGTTAAGCACCCTCTGGAACATTTTAAGGTAGGCTGGGGCTTTGGAGTTGGATAAAATTCATCATGTTTACCTATGTATTAAAACAGTTCATTCTTGTTTGGCTAATTGATGCATTCTTCACTTTGATTTAATATGTTTGACCAAATGTATCAAGGGGGTGTTCATGTTTTTCCGCTAAGCTGAAGTTGCATAAAGATGCGTTAGCAGCCCTAACACAAGGCAACAGGATGCCTATATGAATAACTCTTACATATTAGTTGATTTGCAACCTCTTTTTCATTACTATTTCGTACTTTATAAATTACCTTATGTTTTATTTCTGCATATTCAGTTCCCCACATGCATGTGCTTTCCTACCTTTATATGTGCAGAGTAAGTGAAAAAATAACGTACCCTGTTTCGAGTCTACTTTAGTGTTCCCAGTTCCCCATGAATGGCCTTTCTTCACCCTGCTAGTTTCGCCAGTTGGCGTGCAGGTAAATGCTGGTCTGTTGGGTGTCCTCTGTTGTTTTTATAAATCCTGGACTCAAACGCTGAAGTTTTTGTATTTTGTAATTTTTATGTATTTTACTTTCTCTTTAACAGATTGGCTGTTTGATCTAGTTTAGTTTCTTTTGCTTGTGAAATATTCTTGCTTTTGCTGGAACGTTTGACATTTGACATTTTCCTTTACATTGTCAAGATGATAAACATCCCTAATTTCTGAATTTTTGCATGTAGACATTTAACGAATTTTTTGTGAGAGAGTTAAAGCCTGGAGCAAGACCAATTGCCCGTATGGATCGAGATGATGTTGCCGTATGTGCTGCGGATAGCCGTCTTATGGCATTTAAATCTGTTGATGAAAGCCTGAGATTTTGGATTAAGGTTATTTTTATCATTTTTACTTGAATTCTTGTTGATGACTTCATTATTTTCTCAAGATTTGTTGGTGCTTGTCTCTTCTTAGTTCCGGGGATTGAATTGCATAATTAATTAATTTGAAAGCACGAAAGATGGAAGTTAAATGATAAATGTGAACACTTATTCAACTCGACCCTTATTCACTACCTTCTCAGAGACATAAGATTATAAGGAGCTTGTCTAGAAATATTAATATACCAATGCAAATTATGCAATAAAGATATAGATTCTAATCATATATCTTTGTTCTGCCACTTTGCCTTCAATTGGTTAAAATAATGATTATTCATGTATTCATACTGTTAGAGTACCCAAGTATTGACTGTTTGAGTACCCAAGATGTTACTGTATCATGCACTGAAACCATCACCTCAAGTTGTTCAAATTGATTGTTGTGTTTTGTCCAGTCTGGTCATTAAGTGTTTGAGTACAGTATTGAACTTGTCACTTGATGAAAGCATCAATTTGTGGGAGCACAAATCTTACGTAGGTTAGAATTCTCATCTAACCTCTGAAAATAACTTACATTAACTAATCTTGAAGGTTACAACGATTCTGGTGTAGCCTCTGTATTGACATCTCTTCAGAAAGCAAGAAAGTTGAAATTTGAGAGGCTAGGTCTTTGGAATTACGATTGATGCGAAAACGATAATTATATTCCCCTTAGAGTATCCCAGAAGATTGGAATCCTTTAGGAAGGAAATGCTAATGGAAGTCGAATTGTTTGTCAAGATTTGTAGATATTATGTTGTTTTATTTGGGGACGAGTCAACTTTATTGCTAACAAATAATAGAACTACAAAGAGTATAGCAAATGTGTTAAAATTAATAGGTCTGTTGGGTAATATTTCTTCTATATTTGGAGCTGTAATCCACTTCTTATGCTTCTTAATATTGTTCTTTTTATATTTCTGATTCTATGTTCTTGGTTTTTTTAAAATATTTTTAGGGTCGAAAATTTTCAATTCATGGGCTTTTGGGGAAGGATCAATGTTCCAGTGGTTTTATTGATGGATCATTGGTAATATTTCGTCTGGCACCGCAGGTATTTGTTATAATGTGCTTTGATTGCCATGTACTATGAAGTTTAACTTTGCATTATCTGATTTATATTTTGATATTAATCGTCTCTTATGGTTTCAGGATTATCATCGCTTCCATTTTCCCGTTTCTGGAACTATTCAGAAGATTGTAAATATACCTGGATGCTTATATACAGTATGTGATTGTAGATGATAGATATGACATGTTGGAAATCCTTGATTCGTATTTTCTACAGATTTCCTTTTTCCTTTTCCCTTATGTTTTTCCTTTTTCCTTTTTCAGGTTAACCCCATAGCTGTCAATAGCAAGTATTGTAATGTATTCACCGAGAATAAGCGAGTAGTATCAATTATATCAACTGCAGAATTTGGAAAGGTTTGTTTCTACAATCATTTATATTTCCAAAACGTCAATTTCATTTCTGTTCACATAAGTGTTCTCTTGGACATTAAGTAGTGATACATGCTCAGTCTATTCTGCTTGTAAAAATGAGTTATATTGGTGCCTTAGGATGAAAAACTTTGACCGAAACTTTGAAATATCAGTCAATGTTTTTCGGCAGTGATGACACAAACATAGATGGAAGGTGGACCATTGCATCCTGTTGCCAGTCTTGGTGGAAATCTGAAAATTCCAATTTTTCCACATGGTGGAATGTATTGTATCTAGGAAGATTTTTGAGCTGTTTAAATAAGCAGGGTGCGTTATGCCGGATTCATTATGTGGGTGTGTGGTGCACGCCATGTTTAGAAAGTAGTTTACAGGAAAAAAAAAAAAATGGAAAACAAGGGACGATGCAAAAGCAACCACTTTCATGTGAACCAGCTGAAGAGAGCAATTTTTGGACTATAGATCCAGGAAACAAATTTCAATTTACTCGGCAAAAATTCGCCCATAAAATGTGGCTTGGGTTGGACTATATATAGCTTAATTAAAATGTGGATCCACAAAAGTGTTGGCCTTAATGAAGATGTGAGTCCATCAAATTGTTAGCTTACAAATATTACTTAGAGTAGGTTAAGCTTAAATAAGTATTATCAAAGATAGCATTTAATTCCAAAAATTGCTTTCACAATGATAGTTAAGATTCAATGCCATGTTGTATCTTTGGGATTCCATTTTAAAGATTTTTACATGTTTAATTGATGGATTATGAATTGGTTTAGCATTTTCTAAGGGGTTCGTTCAAGATTTTCATCTTTTTAAGCTTTTCTGTCTCTTGAATTTTTTCATTGCTACCAATATTTTCTGTAAAATCTGACTACCAATTCTTTCACTGACATTGACATTCTCAACCTCTAGCTAACATCTACTAAAAATATCTGACTACCTAGTGTTGCAATGCTATGTGATTTCTAGAAAAGTAGAAGCATTCAGACTTGTTTCTTCAATGGCCAATTTCACTTGGAAATTGGGCTGTGCTATTATAATTTAAAATATTTATTTCCTGTCACAGCGATGTGTGTTCACTTGTATTGGACGAAATCAGCGCTTTTTTGCTTTCCTGATTAAGAAGAGATTTATTTTCCTTGAGTATTACTATTAGTGACTCAGTAGTATTAACGGTCTTATCTTTTTGCATTACAAAATGGATGTTTAATAAGTTTTCTGTACTTACTATTGGAGTGCCAATAGCAGTAGTGTAATTGTTTTGATCATCATTTTTTTTTTTCTGCAGGTGGCTTTTGTTGCAATTGGTGCGACTATGGTTGGCAGCGTTACCTTTTCAAAGAAGGAGGGGGACCATATTAAAAAAGGAGAAGAGGTTAAGATTCAAATTTTGAATTATTTTTCTTTTGCTTTAGACTTTGGAGTAGATGTTAACTATAGTCCTTGAAAACTTACCTGATTCTTCCTTCACAGCCTGTTAGTTTTTCTGTAATTTCAAGGGTTCAAAAATGTCTACTTGCTTCATATATACTTGCCCAGCCTATCACCCTCCGCATTCCTTCTCCTATTTCCCCAAAATTGGAGATTAACTTCAATTTGAGATGAAAAAGTGGTTTACAACTTCAAACGGGAGAAGAAAATGAGAGGTGAGAGGTTAGAGAATGTATATAACATGAGTGGATATTTGTAACCCTAAGTTTTGACGCAAAGAAAAAACACTGACAGAAGGACCAAAGTGACAATTTAATGTTGGATGACTATGCAAGGAACTTGTAGTGGTTTAGAGCGTTTAACCGCTGCACGCAAGATCCCTATGTTCAAATCGCCAATAAAAATAAAAACTGTTGGATGACTATGGAATTCAAAAATGTTGGACCAATGTTAGAATCGGGTAATGGTTGAGAGAATATAGCTACCGTTTACTCTATTTGATACATGTATATGATTGTACTTCACACATACTACTGTACACAGATAATGTGCTGATGTGTACTGTCTTTGTTTCTTATTGACATTTATGTTCATTCAATTTGCAGTTTGGCTATTTCTCATTTGGTGGTAGCACCGTAATTTGCGTTTTCGAAAAGGTTGGTATAATGATTGAAAAGGTGTTGGATGCGGATATAAACATTGTCGCATCACCATTCTTCTGTTTTGGCCTATTTTCAGAAAATTGACATGCCTAGCTTTTCTTCTTGTTCCGGTTGCTTTTGAGTCTTTGACACAGATGGGGAGTAGTTTTGGGATTGTGCGAAGAGTTGAGAGAAATCGATTATGGTTTTTGAAAATTTTCCGGGTAGATGTGTTAGGTAGGTTTGCGGGTGAGATGGGTATTTTCTAGGGCGGAACAGAAACTCTCCTAATCTAAAATTTAGGTGGTAAATCGTCGTAAGTTTGCTGTTTATGATTTATGGTGTCATGCAAGCGTATATCGGACTTTTTAACTGCTAGAAATGATTATTTCCATCTGGCTTATTTTGTGGGATGTTAACCATAAGCAGGATGCCATTGAGATAGACGAGGACCTCCTAGCAAACAGTGCGAGATCACTGGAGACGTTGGTTTCGGTTGGGATGAAGTTAGGCGTGTCCAAGAAACAAGCCAAGACTGGGTTGCCGAACTTGGAAAAATGTGTGCTGCAAGATTGAGAGGGCTAATTCTTGTATGCTATGTTTCCATATTCATGGTCTTGGACTAGGATTTCAGCGTACTCGACCGGTATTTGTAGTCTTGTAATAAGGATGGTGTTAAGGAACTGGTTGATGTGAATTCGATTCATCGTAATAAAGCTGTGTATCTTATCAATTCGAGTTGCTTATTTTTGTGAATACAAATTGATACTCAACGAAAATGAAAGCCTATGAATGCAAGTCGTAAACCATTGCGGGGGTTACTAAACCAAATCGTAGTTAATCACTTGCATCAACCGTAGCATTCTCGTCTGATTGTCGACTAAACTAAAACATGCTCCACTCACTGTGAACCTTGTATGATCCAGTGCAAAATATTTTACACGTGCGTTCAACGACAACAAAGTCTTATCTTATTAATTCCGGATGCACGCGCACAAACGCATAAATTTCAGCAAGAATATGGAATACCTACGGCTTTAAGAGGATATTTTCTATGGACGGTTGCACCCGTGGGTTCAGTCATGTCCAGGTCCTCTCCTCTTGCACCACCAGGCAATGCCCAATCAAACTTGTGCACTAAATTTGCCAAGGCAATCTCTTTAACAGCCACGGCAAACTGAATTCCGGAGCAACCCCGTCTGCCAGCTCCGAACGGAATCAATTCATAGCGAGTCCCCTTATAATCTGTCACTACCCAAGAACCTTTCGGGCTCGTATTCCTCTGGGTTGTTGTATGACTCGGAATCTCTTCCAATCTGCCATGCATTCACAATAACTTGCGTGTTGGCTTGACATCCTGGGCAACAGTAGCGGAGCTGGAGGATGCAAGCAAAGAGTCTCCTTAATCACCGTCTTCAAGTAGTGCATTCCGACTAAATCATCCTCTGTTACGTCCGTTTTGTCGCCGACTATTCCCCGTATCTCGTTCTGCAATTTTTTCATCACTCAAGGGCTGTAGATGTCGTATCAGCGCCAGCCACAAACATATCCTGCAGAGTATCATTAACTTAATTTTATTAAATCCTAAACATATACTGCATTGCTTAGTCATTATCATTTGGTAGAAGTAATTCAAATAATTTTCAACCATAAAATCAGTTTTTAGAGCTTTATGTCACAGACGCCCAGCAGTAGAGAGAATGTTCATTACCAAGGTAATAGCTTTGATACAAACTCGATCGACAGGAACAGCAAGCATGTTTTCCTTTTGAAGGGAAAGCAAAACGTCGACAAGATCCTTTTCGTCCCTGTTCTTGGCATGACCATCGCCATCCATTTTCTTTTGAACAACTGTCTCTAAGAAGTCATCAAATCGTTTAGCGCGATCATCTTGTTTAGCATCCAAACCATTGAGACGTACGTGAGAACCAAGAAAGCCCTGGGATACAGTCACCAATATTGATGCGTGACATTAGCTCCGTCAACTCCTCGGTAAGCCCCTTAAAAATCTTCCCATCTTTGTCACCATCGCGGTACTTGGTCCCTCTAGAGATAACATCATTAGTAAGCGTCAGAAGGATTTCGCTTAAATTAAAAACTGACGACTTAGTTGGCGTCCATTGCTTCATGATATTGTCGATCATGGATTTGACTTCCTCTTCTCTAACAGCACGAAAAGAGCGAACCCTTTTGCTGCTCAGAAGATGTGACACACATATGCACCAAGAAGTTTAACTAGAATTGGTGATTTTTGTTGTTTAAAGTTGACAAGGAGGTCTTGGGTTTACTATATGTGCATTTATTTATTTTTCATTTTTTATGAATTTCTTTCCATAAGCGTATAAAATTATAAAATTTGGTTAAATGATTAAGAAGCTCAATTATAAATGGTGGTGTATAATGTTTAAAATTAAAGGAAAACTAATGAAAAGGGTTTGAAAACATTGAGTTTTAACGATAAGAACAAAATAAAGGGTAAAGTGAATAGTACCAGGTTTGACTTTTTAGTGTAAAAATGTGGTTTTTCGTTAAAGTGAACAGTACCGTGGGTTTTTCGTTAAAACTCCCTAAAATTAATGAGGCGTTCCTAGGTTTGAACCTCTGTGCGTTTTTTTTTATTCACTTTGCAATTTTTACGAATTTCTTTTATAAGAGTAGAAATTGATAAAACTTGGTTAAATGATCAAGAAGTTTAGTTATAAGCAGTGATTTTTGTTGTTTAAATTAACGAGTGGTCATGAGTTTGAAATGTTATGTGCATCTTTATTCTTTTCAATTTTTATGACTTTCTGTTTGGTTGTTAATTTCTTTTAAATTACTAACGAGTGGTCCTTAAGTAATAATCTAATCATCAACAATGGCATCATATGGCTTACAAAATTTGGTTTAAAAATTTGGTATCCCTACCGTTAACCTTCAAGAAGTTAATGTATGTATGCCTTTACCAATATTAGGTTTAATTTAGTGCCCATTCATTGCTTTTACATATCAATTAAAGACTTGAAAATATGATTATTTTTTTAGTCCCATATTGATGAGGTTAGTAAATAAGAAAAAACACATCACAATTTATATAAAAACACTTTAAAAGTTTAGATAGAAGAGAAACAAAACTCATCATCTATCTACTTGTAAGCCCGGAGTTTGAAGTACCTTTATAAGTATAGTTTTATCGAAATCTTATGTGTGCAACAAATAACTTTTCTTATATGAAGTTAAGGCACTTTTTTTGAGTGTTTCCCCGGGCCTCAAAAATCTCAAGACCGGCCCTAGCGATTCCCTTCAAAATGACATATTATACGCCCAATTTTGAGACCAGAATATTAATTTTTGCTACCTTTTTTGTCGCCATATCGATTTAACCCAATATTTTTTAACTTAAATTTTTCTTTTTCAGAATCTAAAACCTTTTATTTTCTTTATCTTTATTCATCTGAATTGACCAATATCTACTACATCAATATGATATCGAGTGCAAAATGCTTTACACTTGCACACAAACACATATTTCAGCAAGAATATGGAATAGCTACTGCTTTTAGAGGATACTTTCTATGGACAGTCGCACCCGTGGATTCGGTCATGTCTAGGTCCTCCCCTCTTGCACCACCAGGCAATGCCCAATCAAACTTGTGGACTAAATTTGCCAAAGCAATCTCTTTAACAGCCACAGCAAACTGAATTCCGGGGCAACCCCGTCTGCCAGCCCCAAACGGAATTAATTCGAAGTCCTTACCTTTATAATCTATGTCACTACTCAGAAACCTTTCCGGCTCGAACTACTCTGGGTTGTTGTATGACTTGGGATCTCTTCCAATCTGCCAAGCATTCACTATAACTTGAGTGTTGGCCTTAATGTCGTAACCGTTGATTTTAACATCTTGGATTGACATCCTGGGCAACAGTAGCGGAAATGGAGGATGTAGGCGAAGAGACTCCTTAATCACTGCCTTCAAGTAGTACATTCCGACTAAATCATCCTCCGTTATGTCTGTTTTGTTTCCGACTATTCCCCGTACCTCGTTCTGCAATTTTTTCATTACTCTGGGATGCCTTAAAAGCTCAGACATTGTCCACTCTAGGGCTGTAGATGTCGTATCAGTGCCAGCCGAAAACATATCCTGCAAGAGTATTCATTGAACTATAAAATCAAGTTTTAATGCTTTATGTCACACATACAGCAGTAAGAGAGAATGTTCATTACCAAGGTGATAGCTTTGATGCAAACTCGATCGAGAGGAATAGGAAGCACGTTTTCTTTCTGAAGTGAAAGCAAAACGTCCACAAGATCCTTTTCGTCATCGTTCTTGACATGATCATCGCCATCCATATGCTTTTGAACAACTGTCTCTAAGAAGTCATCATATCGTTTAGCAAGATCGTCTTGCTTAGCATCCAAACCATTGAGACGTGAGCACCAAGAAAGCCATGGGATGTAGTCACCAATATTGATGCGTGACATTATCTCCGTCAACTCCACGGTAAGCCCCTTAAACATCTTCCCATCTTCGTCACCATCGCTGTACTTGGTCCCAAGTGTAATTCTAGAGATAACATCATTAGTAAGCGTCAGAAAGATTTCACTTAAATTAAAAACTGACCATATAGTTGACGTCGATTGTTTCATGATGTTTTTGATCATGGAGTTGGCTTCCTCTTCTCTCACAGTGCGAAAAGAGCGAACCTTTTTTCTGCTCAGAAGATTTAACACACATATGCCCTTGACCTGCCTCCAATACTCGCCATAAGGCGCCGTTGCCACGTCTTTGAAGTCGTAGAGAAATTTCTTAAAGAAGGTGATCTTGGGTCTGCTGGAGAATGCGATGTCATGGGTCTTCATGACCTCAGAGGCAGCCTCAGCCGACGAGACCACGAGGACTGGCATGCTTCCGAAATGGAGCATCATGAGAGGCCCGTGGCGTTGAGCTAAAGCTCCAAGTGAGCGATGAGGGTACAACCCTAGCTGGTGAAGGTTCCCGATGACGGGCAGCTTTCGCGGAGAAGGTGGCGATGAGTTTGGGGTGGAGGTGAAGGACCATTTGTATATGAGGATGAGGAAAATGGCCACTAGTAAGAAATATTTGAAGGAAAATGGTTGCAGTAAGCATGATAGGGTTTCAGTTATTATTTTCATCAGCTCCACCATTTTCTTTTCTGTTAATCTCTTCTCCGTCTTCCCTAACCTACAGACAATATTTATAAGATCGATCGGGCTCCGGCTTTCGACGAAAGAGGTTGGACAGCACTTATCAAAGGAAAAAGAATAAAGTAACAAAAAGTCATATTTTCAGTAATAATAATCTGTCTAGTAGAAATAAAGACTGAATAAACAAACAAATTACCAGATCAATTTTAATCAAGGACGCCATAAAATGCGGGAAACCTGGTCGAAATTATTTATTTATGCATTTTGCATTTGTTTTCTGAGAATGACAGTTCACGGACCAATAATTATTCTTTCCAATACAAATTAGACAGGTTTTTTTATTTTTTATTTATTTTTTTTTAAGTACATCGATTACACTAAGGAAAGGGGAAGTTCGGCTAAGCCACACAATGAGCAGCCTAATATGGTATCGAATTCATCATTTACGAGATTCGAACCTAAAACCTCTCACTTACAAGTGAAGAGAAATACCTCTAGACCGTAGTACTAAATGACAACATTAATTAGACAGGTTGAATCTCTTTAAAGTTAAGTTATTTTGAAGGTAAAGGAGAATGGCAAAGTAG